CGCCAAACAACAATGATGGCTGCAACCAAAAAATGGCCGGGCATTGTGGTGGGCGCCTGTAGTCCCAGCTACTTGGGAGGCTGAGGGAGGAGACTCGCTTGAGCCCAGGAGTTGGAGGTTGCTGTGAGCTGTGATGTCATGGCGCTCTACCCAGGGGATAGCTTGAGGCTCTGTCTAAAAAAAAAAAAAAAAGTATTGTTAAATATTTTTTCTTTAAAAAGAAAGTTACAGAACAATATATGTATAGTATGGTTGTAAAATTATTGTATATGTTAATTTCTATATAAATACATCAAAAAAGGATGTGGAAGAATACATAGCAAACTTTTATAAGTGGTCATCTTTGTGGAAGAGAGGAGATTTGATAGTCAAGAGTGAAGGCTATATATACTTTTAAATTCTTTCTTTTTAGAGACAGTCTCACTTTATCACCCTTGGTAGAGTGCTGTTAGTGTCACAGCTCACAGCAACCTCCAGTTCTTGGGCTAAGGCAATTCTTTTGCCTCAGCTACCCAAATAGCTGGGACCACGGGCGCCCGCCACAATGCCCAGCTATTTGTGGTTGCAGTTTGGCCGGGGCTGGGCTAGAACCTGCCACCCTCAGTATATGGGGCCGGCACCCTAATCACTGAGCCATAGGCACTTCCTGTATACTTTTAAATTCTTTTTTTTTTTTTTTTGCTGGGTGCTGGGTTTAAACCTGCCATCTCTGGTACATGGGGCTGGTACCGCCCTACTTTTAAATTCTTAAAATAGAGATCTGGTTACATATTATAAGGGTAATCCAATAGACAATAAAGCAAATTTGGATAATAGACGGAGAAATTCGCTTTTTAGACATAAAAATTGTACAGGTCACATTAGCTGAGTGCAAAGTAATAGAACTAGAACTGAATAACCATAAATTAAGCAAAAAATTCTAACTACTTGGAATTTTTTTTTTCTTGGAGACAACTTGGAATTTTTTTTTTCTTGGAGACAGAGTCTCACTTTGTCACCCTTGGTAGAGTACTGTGGCATCACAGCTCACAGCAACTTCCAGCTCTTGGGCTTAGGTGATTCTCCTGTCTCAGCCTCCCAGATAACTGGGACTACAGGTGCCCCCCCCAACACCCAGCTATTTTGTTGTTGCAGTTTGGCTGGAGCTGGGTTTGAACCTGCCACCCTTAGAATATGGGGCCAGCGCCCTACTCACTGAGCCACAGGTGCTGCCCTGGAATTTTTTAAAAACATTTTTTAAATAACTCATGGGTCAAAAAGGAAAAGATTAAAGGTGAAGGCTAGCATATGTAGCTTTAAATGCTTTTATTTAAAAAACGAAAATTAATAGGCCGGGCAGGTGGCTCTGGGAGGCTGAGGCAGGTGGATTGCCCTGAGCTCACAGGTTCGAGACCATCCTGAGCAAGCATGAAACCCCAGTCTCTAAAAATAGCTGGGCATTGTGGCAGGCACCTGTAGTCCCAGCTACTCGGAAGGCTGAAGCAGGAGAATCGCTTGAACTCAAGAATTGGAGGTTGTTGTGAGCTATGACTCCGCAGTACTCTACAAGGGTGACAAAGTGAGACTCTGTCTCAAAATAAAATAAAATAAAATAAAGAAAATTAATAAGGTAAGGCAGAAAAATACAATAAAAGAAAAACAGAAAAATAAGTGAATAAGGAAGAAAGAACTGTGC